TAAGCCGCAACTCCTTTAATTCTGCATACCAAAGGAAAATGGTTGGCTTCACTCCCAAATAAGGGTATGGTGCGATTTTAAAAGAAAATTATCTTGAGGTCTTTTTCAACGAAAGTAGATTATCGATACTCGAGGTTTACTAACTGAACCTTTAAATGATTACTTCTATGCACCACAAAAGTTCTGATAAATAATATGTTGCTCTGTTTATCTAAAAAAATTACCAAAAGGTCGCTAAAGTTTGAACCCCGTCCAAAATGTTAAATGTGTTAAGAACAACTTAGAAAGAATTATTCATCACATATAGTTTGGAAGCCTTGTATTTGAATCTTTCTTGCCCTTTTGGTTACTGAACTTTGTAGATGAATAAAGGGTTTAAACAATCTTCGGGATTTTCATTTCATAACTGAATGAGGATAATCAGCAGCTTATAAATGTTAATTAGCCAACTTGTTAAAAATTGTATTTTTTCTCGCTCATAATGAGACTATGTTATTTCATCTTAAGTTTTTGTGGAGTTTGAGTCGTTGTCACTTCACATTTGGAACCAATATTTCGAAATGAAGATTTTTAATGCTTGAACATTCGTTCTTCTATGGGGGCGTAAAGTGATCAGGCCTATCAGGAAGACATTTCAAAATGCCTTAAGCAGATCAAAGTTATCATTCCACAGAAACCGAAGGAGCCTTCGAAATTAAAGTTTAATGTTAAGAGTTGTGCTGATCTTCCTTGACGATTGGCATCCTATTGAGCCTTGTGCAAATTGTTTACTCACATCATAAACTAGAAAGTGCCTGAACGAATTTACAGGAAAGGTTTTAATGTACGTGTAGTATTATTGCTATATGGCTTCATCTGGTATCAAACAAGTTTTGTTGAGGGAAAACTCGTCTTTTTTCTTTCTATGATCCTATTCTCAATATTTTCAGATTCAGCTCAAGCAAAGAAGTATGTGGTGGCTGTTCTGCCATTTAAGATTCGTCCTTTTCGCTTCTACCATGGAGTTTGTCGCAGCTAACGATCAATGTAGGACAGAAATAAACATACAAGGAATGGCTCTCGAGGGTCATGTCTTCAAAAGGTGGTCACTGGCGGCTCCTCACCTTTGCGATGTCAAATGTGGACAAGAGATCACGTGCCAAAGCTACAACTACCATCGAAAATACCAAATATGTGAACTAAATAACCGCACCAAGGAGGCGAGACCAGAGAATTTCCTTTCAGCACCCGCTTGGTTTTACATCCGGCGATTGAACGGCAGAGGTAAGAAATCAAATGTCTCTATCTGTGTGACTTCTATTTCTCTTAAATCTTCTCCATCCTCAGCCTGGTTCCTTCTCACCTGGAAGAGCTAAGAATAGGAAGTGAATGTAAAACATATCTTTACTGCAGCTCCCTTAGGTTCTATCCCTGAATTACCGGCGCTGTCTTGTCACGAAATAAAGGCGAGTGAAGGTAAACACACCATAAGCGGCAAGTACTGGTTAGATCCAACCAGGAAAGGAAAGGCGAAACTGATTTACTGTGATATGGTTAACGAAGGTAGGTCCTATAACTTTGCTTCAGTTATTTTATTTTGTGGCGAGTTATCAGTATCATGAAATTATTATAAATTATACTATTATTGATATCATTATCGTAATATTTGGTTTGGATCAGTTCTAGCGTGGATGCCTCTCTCAAGTTGCTCTAACTTAGTCACTGCCTCTCTTTCATCATTTTAGATATGGATGAATGTAAATTTAACATCAGTGACTGCGACGTGAATGCAAACTGTACTAACACATATGGTTCTTACAAATGCACATGTAAAGTGGGATACACCGGCGATGGACGCTCGTGTTCAGGTAGTTTTAATATTTCCATATATAACTAATTTTTGTTAATCGTCTCATAATTTTATGCAGCGTTATCCATGCATGTTTATGCACAGAGTTACCACGATCTACATATTTTGTTACACATTTTGTAATGATAAGAGGAATTACATGACTATGGGTCATAAAAATGATAAAGTGAAAAATTTATCAATAGTTTCTCAGATATTTACGAGTGTAAAGGAAATCACTCTTGTCACGTGAATGCTACATGCACGAACACCAAAGGATCGCACGTTTGTACTTGTCACCCCGGATATAATGAAAATGGAAGCGACTGCACAGGTACTTAATGCGTTTCCTTTGTAACCATTCCCATAAGAAAGAAAAGCACTATCATCTTTGTAAGAGTTGTTTTACCAGCATACCTTGTATAAAAAGAGAAGTGTGGCCTGAAGACAATGGCGAATGACACCATTGTATTCAATAAACATTCAGTGGTAAAAAAATCTCAACTGGCAAAGGAGACTTGATGGATAGGCTTACAGGACAGAACAACGGATTTGAACTTGGGGAAACCGAGAAAAAATCTGGTAAGTGGTAACGTGAAGTGCTCACGTCTAGAACCACAAGACAAAGACTTCTCAGCTTATGCCCCGCAACTTTTCTCCAATTACATTTTTTTTTTTTGTTTATGATTTTTCAGATATTGACGAGTGTAAAGGAAATCACTCTTGTCACGTGATCACATGTATGTCAATGTCATGCTGGATATACTGGAAATGGAGAAAACTGCACAGGTAAATTTAATCTCTTCTCTACAATATAGTAGAATAGTCCTGCATGACACGTTCGACTACAGTGCCGCACCATCCAGTTGCGTTGCAAGACAATTAGACAATTTATCACTAAGAAACTCGGTCATTTTGTCCTCACGTGTTCACCTCCTCGAGTGTTCAAGTCGCTATCTTATGAGAATATAAACAGTTGTAATCTCTTGGTATCGAGTTGAACAAGAGAAGAAAAGTTACATGACCGCAAGCAACCATGTACTATTTTGATTATCATATAAACACAATAGGCCTTTACTGAGAATGAAAGGTGACTTTTTTAAAGAATGATATGATTGGTTTCACAATCCGCGAAAAAAAATCGTAAAGCGCGTCGGCGATAAGGGTCAAGATGAAAAAATGCGTTGAACCATTACAGAAACAGACAAAGGGCGTAACTTTCTTTTCACAAAATTCTCAGTTGATTTTTTCCTTACCGAAAGAAAAATATTTTCATGTAAAAGACAAAAATAGGCCTTTAGTAAGAAAAAAATAGAATTTTTTAAAGAATGAAATTAGAAGTTTCACATTCCGCGAAAAAAAAGTCTACCAAGGAGGCTAGCAAGGCTAATCTTTGACGATTGATATCCGACTACAGTTTGGAACGGTGTCTAGAGAGAGATTCCACTGCAGTGGAAGTTTTTGTTTAGTCTAAATTAATAATTAATTTGTCACAATGATAAATAACTTAATGACCTGTCACCTCGTAAAAGTTTAAAAAACGAATGTATCTCTCACTCGTGTAACCACTAACGTTGTAGAATTTTTCTTTTCTTTCCAATTTTTTTAGATATTGATGAATGCCAAAAAAATACTCACAATTGTCACCTGAACGCTACTTGTCAAAACACAAATGGATCCTTTGTGTGCACCTGTTTATTTGGATTTAACGGAGATGGACGGAACTGCACAGGTAAAGGCCTTTAGATTGTAATTGCCTCGTTATAACTTTATTTATTTGTTTGTGTTTTTATTTTTAATTGTTTGTTTAATTTGTACGTTCCTTCTTGGTTGATTTGTTTGTTTGTTTTGATAAAGTAGTTACCCTTGCCTTAATATTTTTGACCAATGGTAGAAAATGATCCCAATTGAAAGCAAGAGGACGAAATGCACTCAATGCTCAAAATAAGGAGATTTATACATGTATCATACTCCAAGAATCGTGATTGAAAGCCTGTCATTTCTCAGATATTGACGAATGTGCAAGAAATCTTTCTTGTCATGTGAATGCTAACTGTACCAACACAATTGGATCACATGTATGTACATGCCACACTGGATACACTGGAGATGGACAAACTTGCTCAGGTGATTTTGATAACTTTTCTTCAATGTCCAGAAAAGTCCTTTATGTCCGAAGAGAGGCAACCTCCATTGCTGCTCTTTCTATACATACAATCCCAGCTACTCGATGCGGGAGGTAATCTGAAACGTCTTTTTAGCTTAAATTATAAGGCCGGAAGTAGTCAAACATTTATCCTAAAATTCATCCCTCATTAAAAATTGTGGATTGTTTTGTTTTGTCCCACATCCTTTGAGATTAGATTTGCAGTATTTTGGATAGGTATTCATTATATCTTGATTCACCAAAACATTTTTCATCATAACATCCAACTCTGGGTTGAGACGTGGTGCACTTGATCCCCATCAGACATTGACGAGTGTTCACAGATGAACATCTGCGATAAGAACGCCTCTTGCAGTAATACCCAGGGCTCCTACAGTTGCGCCTGTAATCCTAAATACATTGGGGATGGTCTGACTTGTAAAGGTTAGTCTCTTTTAATCCATGCCTTATATATTTTTTAGAGATGGTACTGGCTGAACTCGCTGTAAATAATGTTGAGTGAATGGCTATTCTTGTTTGGCCATGTAACAAATCACGTTAGTTTTTAGTACCTTTAGTTTGCTTGGAAACGTCCATCGACAAAACATCGGGGATAAAGAAAGATAAATTTGATTTTTTACATCATATTTTTGGACTTGAAGGCATTGTTTTTGTCCACCAGGAGAGAAAATAATTTATTCTTGATGATGCATAAATGTTCTGCAAATGTAATTATATTGATGATGTCTCAATTAAACAGAATAGTCTGATTGGTTAAAATCGATGTTGACCGCAGTTACGATTTTCTCACTCTGACCTAATAAGGTAATTCCTCAGAAAAAAAAAAGTCATCTAACAATTTTTTTAGTCTGCCTTTAAATGTTTCCTACCAATGGCTGTTTCGAAAAATGCAATAAGAAAGGCAGGTCACCTTGCTTGTTTGAGAGAAATGACGGGCAACACTTACCTCATTTATGCCTCTACTAGCAATTTTTCCCGCGCGTCATTTCAAGGTACATTTTTCGGTAGCTGGAATCAAGGGATTTCGAAGTAAAAATTAAAAGAAAAAACTTAAAAGGTACAAAGTCTCGAGCGTGTGGAAAATTTGATATGTAATTTGTGGAAATTATTTATATATATTAGTAATTATTATCACTCAAAACGTTCCTCACGTCGTTGTTTTCAAGGTAATGATTTTCATCATCAAGTAACGGGCTTTGTGCACGTTTTTAGCTATGTCTTCTTTTTTTTTTTTTTTGCCTTCGACAATTTTCTTAATTTCTCCAAGTTGAAGGGGAAGATTTGTACAAAAAAATTATGCAATGAAAAATAGAGGTCACCCCGCTCGTTCAAGAGCTAAAGAGCATTGTGCCTGTTTGCATGGTCCATTTATTGAAAAGCAATACCGTGTTCTCGGAATGTGTGCGCTTACTTGCCTGATTACGTGATTTGTATTCGCAGTACAGGATGCCCAGTGCAATACTGAGGAATCACCTTTAGACTGATAGCAAGATTCAGTTTGTTTGTTTTTTTTTTTTATCTAAATAGTAATTAATGGAAGAATATTTGTCTAAATAAGGAAAACGTAGACAAATTTGAGTGTAGCCGACGAAACTACGAGCATAGCAACTTGACTTTTTACAACGCGAATTTTTGTCAGATGCACGATTTGATTGGCTATTAGGAAACACTATCGTCCAGAGCATGTGTTGATAAAATATTTATCAGTCATGTTATAAACAAACAACATTTACCTTTGATAGAAATAGTAGAGATGGTAAGTTTTGAGCTCGATGAAGAATTAAGAAAGATGTTTTTTCGTCTTGTCACGAGCGTGGGATAAAGAAAAATTCTGAGTCCCCATGAGGAATCTTCTTCACCGAGCACAAAACTTATATAGGTTTCACAATCCACGAAAAAAAAAAGGCGTAAAGCGCATCGGCGATAACGCTCAAGATGAATATATGCGTTGAACCATTACAGAAACAGACAATGGGCGTAGCTTTCTTTTTACAAAATTCTCAGTTATTGACTTTTTCCTTACCGACAAAAGAAATTTTTTCATGTACACGCCCGAAATCGGCCTGTGGCAAATCTTCCAGTTGTCGATTTTCGTTCTCAACCACGAGAAATACCATTACCCAGGTCGAGGACCTAACTTTAGGTTTTTCTTTTCGTATTTTGTTTTACTTCCCCTTCTAAGAAATTTTGAGTGACATTGTCTGTTAGAAATACGAATTTTTCTTTGTTTTTTTTTAGCAGCCATAATTCAAGAAAATTTCAACATACGACCCTGGATTGAGAACGGTCAACGCTTTGCCATTCATTTATTAACCTGACACAGCTGATTGTGAAATTAAACACATGTAAAAAATTATCGTAATATTACACACGTGTTTAACAAGAATTTCCCAGCTCTTCTCCGGGCGGGAAATCGTTTTAAACCATCACAGTTTATATAATAGCGTTTTTTTTCTTAAGCTTCCTTATGACGAAATATATTAAACATCGCATTAACCGAAATTCAACCTTTTAGCCGATCCGTGCTATAATTACATAAACCTGAGCGATGCTGACAGAAAGAGTACTTACAACACACCCTACGGTGGAGAAAAATGTGACGACGATTCCTCATCGATAATATTCGGGAAATGGTATCGTTTCGTGGGAGATGCAGGAACAAAAATGCCAACCCAGTGCGTACCGAATCATAGATGTGGTGCGGTCTTCTCAGGCTGGCTAAAAGGTGGTCACCCCACATTGGCAGATGGTGAGGTTTTCTCCGAGGTCTGCTTTACCAGAGGTGGAGATTGTTGCAAGAAATCAATGAATATTAAAGTGAAAGACTGCGGATCCTACTTTATTTACAAACTACGAAAGGTACCTGCTTGTAATCTGCGTTACTGTAGCACAGACTAAATGCTATAAGCAAGTTATTCTGCACAGCGAAATGATTCACAAATCGATTTATCGGCACATGTATATTATTGCATAACAGGGACTTTCAGAATTTCACATGATCCACTTTTTATGATTAGTGTTAAATAGTGAATAGTTTGAACAGAAGACTACCTTTGGACGGCGCAGTTTGATCTTCCAAGTAGGAGTACTCCTGAGAAGTTGTGACAGAAGGTTGTCAGTAATAGTGACTAACGTTTCTATAACCTCAGCGGAAATCATCATCAGAGTCGATTCAACAATTGTTGTTTATCCGAGTGTTAGAACACACTCCCCCCCCCCCCCCCCGCGGCAAATTTAAACAACTATGGGCATTAGTGAGCTTTCCAATAATCTTAGTATCACCTATATCTATTCCAATCGAAGAGCTTCACTAAGTAAGTTTTAAGCACAACTTTGAGCATTGTATTTTGCTTATTACAAAACGCTTTGGACTATTGATGTTTACTCAGGTCGTTAGAAACTAAAGCAGCTTTTAATACCCACCCATTCTGGGCATGTAATTGTTATTCTGTCGGCAGTCCGTGATTATGAGCCAGTTGTTTATTATGTTCGGTCATGCTTTCATTGGCATCATTATTTACAAGGATTTTTAAGTCGTATTAGGTGTGTTGTGGATAGAGACTGTAAATAATTTCAAAAATTATCAGTCACTATGACATTCATACCCAAACTTTCTGATGACATAGCTTGGAAAACTAGAACATTCTATTAGGTATGTAATTATGATATATTTCTGCCACAACAGTTGTGTTGTAAGCTTCGAATTCCGGAATGTTTTAAAATACATCGTGAATGTATATAAGGACTCAGTCAGCTAGGAGTGGTAATTTAGTTTTTCAGAAAAGACTGACTATCAAGGAAGCTCTACAGAAAGATAGCTCAGTACTGTGATGTCCTTCAAAAATTGTGTATTTTGTGCAGATTTGAGGCAAAGTTGAGTCTTTGGTTTCCGTAGAGAGCTAAGTTACAGTCTGTAGTTGGCTTGGTAAGTTTTTAAATGACAATTTTGTATTGCCTATATGAGTAGCTCCTACTAATGGGTAAAATTTCAATGATGTCTACGCTAGTAGCTCTTATACAAGCCGTTCCCACAAAAAAGAAAAACAACAACACCAGAAAGAGGTCCGAAATGACGACCAGTTAAAACCTAATTTAATAATTTTTTCTGGCTTTCTTGAGTGTATGTGACCTGTAACAGAAAAAAGTATGAGCTATTACTCTAGTTGTCATAGTTATAACAGTCACTGAGCCTGGGACAAATAGCACGTGAAAGTAATCGGAGGTTTGCATGTCTTTATTGCACTTTATCAATTATCGTACTACCTAAAGGAGTGGCTTCTGAGAAAGAATTATTACACGTTGTTTTGTAGTAAAGTAGTTGTAGTAACCATAGTTATAACTGTCACTGAGCCTGAGAGAAATAGCACCTCTCTGTAATCAAAGGTTTGCATGTCTGTGCTGCACTTCATCTATTATCAATTGGATAGCTGCAATGCAGGAAGCAAGTTATTTATTTCGTGTTTTCCGTTTTTACGCAATAATTATGGACCATATTCAGGTAGTTGTCCGCATCAGTCAATGATCAAAGTGTCTGACAAGGGTAATACTTTGTAAGAGATGGAAAAATAACTGAGGTTGACTGTGAACAGTCACGCAGTTGAACACTGAGCAAACGAAAATCCAGAGAGTAACATGATAGGGTTTGAACCCGGGACCAACAGATTACAATTCTAACGCGCCCTGGCCACTGGGTCACACTGCCGGAAAATTTGACAACTTCAATAAAGAAGATTGAAAACTTTGACGTTGAATCTTATTCAAAACGAGTAAATAAAAGACGTATTTTGATCAGCACTGCACTAGCCTTTTCCATTCCGGTTACACACGTACGTCCCCTCGGGTATAGGCCCCTCTGTTAATAAGCCCTCCAGAAACCCCTTACGAAGTTGTATAACCCCTGAGTTTATAATCGGCAGGTTTGTTTGTGTTGTGGAACTTTAAGGATTTGCGTCAGAAGGAATGGTGCTATTCTTAACTCAAAAGTTTGATTCCGTTTTGATTGACGTATAAAATCGAGTTGAGACGTCGGCGAGTTGGTCTTCAATCCAGTACAACTTATTAGAAGTTGAACACATAGAAAAGTGAAATATCTTTAGTAAAAAAGCAATTTTGTTTTCGTGCAAAAAAATTTATAAGGATTTCATGGCGAATAAAGCAAGGTAAACATCGCCAATTACTATAAAAGCTTCAGACGCGAACGAGTTAAATTCTCAACGTTTCCTCTCGTAACTTAACACTGAGTCACACAACGCATGAATCAATCGCTTGCTTTTTCTCATGACGTGAGCTCGGGACGCCTGTGCGTAAAGATATATACATAATTGCTAAGGTGCATTCTGCCAGCATGGGTTAACTGTGCCTACATCGCTTATTTCTTCTTCTTCTTCCGAGTCAGTTCTCAGGTCGCCGTCAAAATTAATATTCATGTCTAATCCATATCGGAGTATTTTTTAAAATAATTGCAAGCTTTAGTTTCCTTTGAAGCCAACAAACAAAATGAGTTGCTTTCAAATTCGTGTTGTGGAGGTTCCTGACTGCATGGCAAAAATTCAAATACCGTCCCTTTGTTAAAAATGGTCCTCGTGGTTGTTCGGTTGGCTGATGAAGCTTCTTTTCCTCGTGTGACAAAATGTCACGTCGGTGAAGGATAAATTAACGCGCGCAAAAAAATGCAAAGGTTTGATAGCGGAAATTTGTTTCCTTTTTCATTTTTTAATTGTTCTAGCTAACCAAGAATAAAGACTTTTTCAGAATTAATTTCCTTATGAACACCATAGGTTACGTTTTTCAGCTAATTGTTGTACGCGTGACTTAAACGCATCACGCGATTAAAATTATTGTCTTAACTCTGAATTTATTTGAAACAACACTTAACAGCAGCTGTAAAAACCTTTACTTCTCTGTGTATTTATTCTCTGCTGCTTATGTGGATAAATGCGATCAGGCTCTGAAAGTGTAAAGGGACAATCAATATTCAGGTACTTAATGTAATAGCTTTGTAACTTTCTCCTTAACCCTTAGGAGTCAATTATTTTATCCCTCTTGCGGTAAAATTGTTAATTTAAAGACGGGGAGCATTTTTTTCTGTGTATCGCAAAATAACTTAATTTCCGGTACATATGTCGATTCTGTTGATGAAGACGTGTTTGCTTTGTGCTCTAATGCAATATTTATTCTTCACTATTTATCACTGGAACGTATAGTTTGTTATTTGATCCGTCTTGTTTCTTTAGGTTCTGTGATATCACCGAAAAATGAACTCTACAATGAACTTTCTTAGTGGTTTCACAACAGAGGAAACATAGCACTTCTGTAAAACTGATCAAAATTAATTTTCTCTCTATAAATATTACTACAATATTGCGTAAACTGCTGACGAGAATAAAAAACAATCAACTTGTTAAAATGTCCAAATGCTCAGAGAAACACATCAAGATTTAGTGGTAAGATCTTCGGACCTCAGAATGGAAAAATCTGCATGGGAGCGTCTACTTTGAATTATTGTAAAATGATTTAATATATAAAAAAAAAAGAAGGGAAAAATTGGCGATTAGTTCGTAAAACCAAAAATTTGAAAGTCAAATGAAAACTGAGTTGGAGACAAGAAGCAGTCAGCTTGTGGATGATGTGGGTTCTAAAAACTACTAATATTCCGTTTTTTTCGTGTCGACATTGGCCTTTCCTCAGCATCAATGAATATAAAAGGACATTTTAAAAAATAGAAAAAAGAAAAACATACTTTGTCCACATGTTCTTTAGGAAGACGTAATAACTACTAGAGTTTCAATAACTTTTAGTATATAAATAACTTCTCTAGTCTATAACTGTTTACTTCCAAACAATAAATTCTTAATTCTCTCAACCATAACGGAGCTTTCTCAGGAAAGAGGGTAGTGGGAAAAACGCGATTTATGAAATTCCTTGTTCCTTTTTCAACGAGTGATGATAAGAATGCTCGTCCTCTGGCTAGGTATTAAAACCACCGTCACCGTCTTTGTATTTTTGTTGAAGTCGATTTCAAAGGTTAAAAAGGTTGAGAGACTGACGGCTTGTAACATCACTGTTAGGTCACGTGAACCTCCTTATTTGTTATAAAAAATGTATCTGTTCGTGGTCGCAAAAGAGCATGAGCCACGCCCAAACTGATTTCCGTTGGTGCAAAATTTTGAATTACAGTGGTAAAGTCACAGTGTGAGATTGTAGACTGCATTTAAACTGCACAGCTTCCATCATTGTCCGTGCTTACTTAAACAAATTCAAAACACTTTAATCCCACGTTAATTCGATAGAGATAACCAGTGATCATCACCAAAACAAGCAAGGATCAACAATATGAATTTAGAGGAAGTTATCAGTTGTTTCTCATGAATTAAGACTGGTAACAGCAGTCCCATTTGTTGCGGTTTACGACATATGTTGAAGTCCTAAATGTAATAACTGTCCTAAATGTAATAAAGTCCTAAATGTAATAACATATGGTCCTAAATGTAATAAAGTCCTAAATGTAATAACATTTAGTCCTAAATGTAATAAGCCTCTTATGCGATCGTTTAACTCCTGCAGTGCATTGTTGTTATGGCGGACATCCACATTGATATGTTAGTGACAGCTGTCGCTCCAAAAAAACCGCTGACCAGTATACATGTCACATTATGGGCCCGCTGATATCAATCAGCGTCTTTTTACCTGCTAGACATAAGAAATATCAGTAGTCGAAGTATGGTCCTTATAGCGGTTTATTGATCGAGTTGAAGAAAATCATTTCCAGCCCAAAGTGGGCTAGTGCTTGGCTGGAAGCTCAATAGGATGGAATCGATTGGTACGTAACCATTAAGACTTTTTGGAAAAGAAATTTACTA